AAAGGTGGCAGAAAATTTAAGTCAGACAAGTCACAAGATGCTGTGCCAACACGCATGAAAGCATACCATACAGAAAAACAACATGACTCTATTCTTAGTAAGGCTATATGGTCATGCAATTTGTAAATAATGAGAGCAATTTTTAGAAGATTAATGATTAATACATATGATTAATATAATAATAAACAATATAATATTAATAAGATAATATAAGATTAATATATATTTCATGTTGAGGAACCTTGAAGATTTGTTTGAAGAAATACAATCTCTACACTTTGTATGCCAACACAGAAGGGGAAGCGAAACATTCATTTGAGCAATAAAGCTTACTTCTGGTAGTTTTGATGGCTGCTATTGGACTGAGGGGACAGAAATTGTGTCACATCATCAAAATATGTTGAGATTAAAAACATATGTATATTGCAGCAGTGCTGAGACACCACCGCTGGAGTTAATCTCATCGTAACCAGCAGTTAAATAGCTGTTTCAAAGACAGTCTTTGCTGTTGCGTCTTGTACACATACAAGAATCCTATTCTCTACCCTGCTTACCCTGGGAGAATTCTTTATAAGTGAAAACATAACACAGCTTTAGCGCAGAAAAGAGGCATAGAAATGCTGCCTTCTATGTTATAATCACAGTTGAGACAGCTCCTGTCACGAAAGACTTCAGTCTTTCACCTGTCAACTTTCTCCTTCAAAATTCTAAAGAATAAACATGGCAGATTTTATTAGAAACCTTGTAATCATCTCTGAAACTCTGTTATTTCCAGTGATCTGTAACTGCTTTACAATACCTAGCATAGGAACAAAAGAGAAGATACAATTTCAGTTTCATGGGTGCTCCCCGTTCCAAGTATTACTCAACCCAACACACACAGGCTGCAAAATATTAATGCTTCACTTATGTCATTTACTTTCCATTTATACTTTCAAGATTGTATGACAAAAGTACAAGGAAGATTTTTGTCTTCATTACTGCTACAAATCTGCATTTTGTTGAACGTATACTAGAATAAGCATAAAATACTGAAATAGAACATCTCTGTCAAAGACATTATCTTTACAAAAAGGCTGGAGCTTGCACAACACAGGTTTTCAAGTTTTACATATATTAGACCTTAGACCTAGAAGTAAGGGGCGTCAGAATTACACATACAGAAGTTTCTTCATATTGCCAAGTTTGAATTTACCCAGATATTTGTCCAAGTGATGGGGATAGAGCATTCCTGACCAGTCTTGTCCAAGAGCATCATCACACCTTCAGCAACCCCAGCCTTCCCTCAGCATCTTCAACGAGCACATGTGATGAACCATGTATGTCCATCCACATTCAAGGTAAAGAGGTAAAATAGGGATGACAAGAAGTTTCTACTATTTCATTCCTCCCATCAGGTACTTATGTCCCTGCTTCAGATATTTGCTAGGAACTTCAAGCCCCTCAGCCTAAGAGGTTTAAATGTGGGGGCATCTGGAATTTGAACTCCTATGTTCATCTAGCCATCAAATGTTTAAGATGCTGAAAGGGAGTGACAGGAGCTTGGGAAGAACACAAATAACACTGAAGCTGGGGGAGAGGAATGGAGGGGACAATAAGTGCAATAAGAAATTAGAGGAGTTGGAATGAAGAAGCTATCAGAATTTTTTTTTTCTGTGACAAGCAACATGATAAATGTAAAACTTGGATGAAAATGAACTAAAGAATTGTGTGGAATGCTCAGCTTGGAGAGGAAAACTGATGTTGGTTTGATTTTCTCTTCTCAAATTACACTTGCAAGCATCTTGTAAATAGTAAGTCAGTGTGAGAGGAAGTATAATTATCCTGGAACATTACTACAGTGTTTTTAGCTCTGCAGTTCATATTAGTGAAAGCTTTTGTGCAACTCCAGCAGAATCTGAGAAGTCTTTGAGCAGCTACTGGCTGTGCTGCAGCTACACATTGGAGTTCACGATTCTGGGTGTCATGCAGTAACGGCAGTGAGTCACCAGCCAGTGGCCTTTCTGTTTAACAGAGAAAATACAGATGCATCAGAGGGCCTTACTTTTGACATATTCCATCTGGATAAGCTTACACTGTGTAATGTTTTAGCCTCACAAGTAGCTCTGTTCACACTGATGCAGCAAATTTAAGAGAAATAAGTTACTCTACAAAACAGAGTATCAAAGTCTCATTTACTGAATGTAGAGACCCCCATGAAGCCAGAAAACAAGGAACTACCCAGCAAAAAGGTATAAACCTCTGGTGCAGACAAGCATGCAGATTTAACTGATAAGTACGAGTTCACAAGGCTTTTAAAAGTTTAATTGTAGCCTCCTGCCTTAAGCTTCTTATATCCTCCCCTCAGCTTCCAGGTAAACAAGCAGCTGAATGGATGCTAACAAGCAAGTGGCTGAAGAACCAGGGTACAGCAAAGGGCATTGCTCAGAGAAGCACTCTCTTCACCTTTCAGGAGCAAATCTGCTGGAGCAACTGCAGTGATACACTGTGCAAATATTTAAAGAGGAAAAAGCTGCATTTGCAAAACTAAACAATGGTGCAGTGCAAATGCTAAACTTAAACAACTAAAATATGCCATAAAAGCAAACAGCCATGGGTACTTAAGAGACCAGTTAACTGCTTCAGCTAAACCTGATTTACAAAGAGAATTCTTTTCCCATTAGACACAATTGCAGTGAGCTTCCTCCATTAGTTGAGTCTTCTGCACCTCTTTCAGTTGTAGCAGGCACAATAAGGTCTGAAGAGTGGGGTTGATTGAAGAATAGGGTGGATTGAAGAATTGGGTTGATTGAAGAATAGGGTTGTAAATAAGTAACCTCAAGAACCTTGGGCTTTGTTAGCAACTGTAGAGAAAACAAAAATTACTAAGGCTCTGGTTCTGCCAGAACCACCTGGTGGTTACTGATATGACAATGATCCTAAAACAAAGTGATGAAGAAATAACCACTGGGGGTCCAAAAGCCCACTACTACATTTTTGTATGCATACAGGAGACATTGTCTAAGAAGTATGATGTAATGTATGTGATCTAATGAATATGTATAAGGACAATATAATCACAGCCTGGTTGACGCCTGGGAGAGACACGCTTGGAGGAGCTATCCTCCATGTCTCCCAGTGCCGCAATAAAGAATACCTGCTTGTCAACTTAAAACTTTGTTGGCAAGTTCCTGGAGTTTTCTCTGAATCAATTTGGCACCCCAGATGGGACCCTCTCTGCTCAGCTGCAAGACCCACTGAGGACAGGGCTCCCTAGGGCCCTTAGGAATTTTTCCCGGAGGGATCACTCAACTCATTTGGAACACTGGGGGAGCAGACAAGGACGATCTCATAAAAGGTATTCTTTTCTCTTATATAGTCTGTAAGATGCAGGGGGCATCTTGGTTTGGTAAACTGCTTCGGTAAGCATATGCATGGTTTGGAAGCCTTCCGTAAATCTAGATAGGAAATCTCATGGGCAAAGGCGTATACCTGGCTGCTAGTGTCCGTTTGGTATACACCCACAAGAAGCAGAGGTCATCTTGTGGTCTGGGTCCTGCAAGACACAGTGGGTGTCTTGTAGAAAAGGTTTTGGTTATACTTGTATACAATCACAAGAAACAGGGAGCATCTTGTGGTTTGGGTCCTGCAAGATGCAGTGGGCGTCTTGTAGAAAAGGTTTTGAATTTTACTGGTATTTGATTTATGTTGTGGTTTTTTACAGTTATGAATTTGGTCTTGTGATTTTGGTATTGGTAACAGGATGTTATAACTGTGTTATTAATTGTTGTTTGCTTGATACAATTTTTGTCTCTGTCCCAAGTGTTGTAACTGTGTGTAGTATCTGTGGGATCGTGTGTGTGTGTGTGTGTGAATGCAAGATTAATAATGGGAAATTGGCAGAGTGGAGAGAGCTTGAAAAAGAGCCCTTTTGGGTGCATTTTGGCACATTGGAAAGAGCTGTGAGGATTTCCTGGGGCCTCAGTAAATAAGAAAACATTGGTGAAATATTGTAACCAGTGCTGGCCATTGTACCCTGGGGGATCATGAGAAATGGCCTAAAAATGGAACTCTGATTCAAACACATTGCTATAATTAATGTTGTTTTTGAGGTGGCAGGAAAAATAGGATGAAGTGATGCATGCAGATACATTTTTCACTTCAAGAAATCACCTGGAGTGGCAGACAGAATGTGAAATTAATATATCTCTGCAAGATCCCTAATTTTGGCTTTGGAAAAGGACAGGAAAAAACAGAAAGCTAAGCTGGAGAGATGTTGTTCCGCCTGTGATACTGGGGGGGGTGATATTTAAAGTTAAAAAAACAAAACAAACAAAAAACCAGAAACAACAAAAACAACAACAACAACAACAACAACAACAAACCCAAACAACAACCCCAAAACCAAACAGAGTAATCAGGAAGATTGTTGGGGAATTATGTATCACAGGTACCTCTGAGAGGTGCACTCTCGGCATCTGCCCTATCTGTTATCAATAAGGAGGAAGAGGTTGCTGTCACTGGCAACAGAGCAGAAGGACTTGAGAATGTTAAAGAAGTGTGGAGAATGTATTGGAATCAGAAACACGTAGAGAAGAATGAACTGAGTTGTGCTGTAGGGACAGCTACAGTGGCTGCTTTGGGACAAGTAGAAACTGGTGGAGGGACTAATGTGAGAGGACGAGGCAGAGGTAGAGGAGGAATGACAGGCAGAGATGAGAAATTGAATTCTCCTGTGAGATGGGATCAGTGTGCATACTGTAAGAAGTTTGGATGTTGGAAGTGGGACTGCCCTGGGGGGAGTGCCATGGGGTGGCTCTGGTGACTGAATTAGAACTAGACTGACAGGGACCTGGGGAATCTACCCTAGCAGATCCACTGATTAAATTGAGGAACTAGAGGAAATAAAGTGGAATTTTTAAGTGGATACAGGAGCAACTTATTTGACATTAAATCAGAGGAAAGGAATTGCTACAGATGTGGGAGCTACTGCCCACCAAGAAAAAAAAAAAAAAAAAAACAAAGAAAAGCATTCTTTCTGAAAACTTTAGAGTATAAATTGGGAAAACAAATAGGAATGCATAAAATTTTATACATGCCAAATCCTCCAAAAATCTTTATTAGGGCGAGAAGCAACAGTTAAAGAAGGCAAAATGGAATTAAGAGTAAAAAACGATCAAGTCATTGAAGTTTTGAGTTTATCTTTAATTCAACAGAAAAGCAAACAGGAGGACCTCCCTGAAATAGAAGAAATTCTTCATCAGGTATATCTGGGAGTATGGGCGTCTGAAGTTCCAGGTAAGGTGAAAAAAATGCTTTGCCTGTTAAAGTAGAAATACAAGGGGGACCTGCCCAATTAGAATTAAATAATATCCCTTAATATTGGAGGATCAAAAGGGAAACGAAGAAATAATAATAAAAAAATGGATTATTAATTGAATGTGAATTAGAATATAATACTCCTATCTTGCCATTAAAGAAATCTGATGGGAAAAGTTACAGATTAGTTCAAGATCTCAGAGCAATAAAATTGTGGAGGACATTCATCCAGTAGTAGATAATCTGTATACCTTATTGACTAAATTGAATACTAATCAGGGGTGGTTTACCGTTCTGGACTTAAAGGATGCATTTTTCTGTCTGCCCCTGGCCAAATAAAGTAAAAATTTATTTGCTTTTGAATGGGAAAACCCTGAAACAGGAAGAATGACACAGCTCACGCGGACAGTGTTACCTCAGGGATTTAAAAACAGACCGACCATTTTTGGAAATCAACTGGCACTAGAATTAGAATTCTGGGAAGCACCCACCCAGACAGGAACTTTACTACAGTATGTGGATGACCTGTTAATTGCTACCAAAACTGAGAAAGAATGTGTTCAATGGACTGTAGGATTGTTAAACTTTCTGGGTCTAAATGGATACCAGGTATCTAAATTGAAGGCTCAACTAATTCAAACTCGAGCATCTTATTTAGGATGCAAAATAACAGGACAACCAGAACTTGGAGCAGATAAGAAGGAAGCAATCAGCCAAACACTGTGACCATCCACAGTTAAAGATATCTGGACATTTCTGGGAATGACAGGATGGTGTTAACCCTGGATCCATGATTATGGTGTTCTGGTAGGACCCTTATATGAGCTGCTAAAAAAAAATCCAACCTTTCTAAAATGGGCAGATTAAGCTGAAGAAGTGTTTAAAAGTTTAAAGACAGAACTCATGAGAGCTCCAGCTCTGAGGGTCCTGGACATAACTAAACACTTTTGGCTATATTCCTATGAGAAACAGTGAATAGCCTTGGGATCTTATAAAAGAGCAGTGGCCTATTTTTCAAAACAACTGGATGAACAAAGTAAAGGCTGCCCTGGATGCCGGAGAGCAGTGGCAACAGTTATCTTAAACATCCAAGAGGCCCGAAAATTTACACTGGGACAAAAGATCACCGTGTTAGTATCACATGCAGTATCAACAGTCCTAGAACTAAACGGTACACATTGGTTATTGCCATCACATTTCTCGAAGTATCAAGCCATCCTAGTAGAACTGGATGAATCCAACATTTTTCCTTCAGGAAACCCCTACCGAACCATTGACTCATGATTGCTTGGCCACTACAGAGACAGTATATTCAAGCTGACCAGATCTGAAGGAGGAGCCTCTGGAGGGTGAAGATTCCTGGTTCACCGATGGCATCAGCTTTGCTAAAGATGGTAAACGAAGAGCAGGATATGCCATAACTGCAACTTCAAAGGTAATAGAAGCTAAACCATTAACCTCTAACACCTCAGAAAAAAAGGCAGAAATAAGAGACTCCAGAAATAAGAGACTAGAGCCTTGGAGTTGGCAAAGGACAAGCGGATAAACGTATGGACTGATTCCAAATATGCCTTTGGTGTAGTTCATGCACATGGAGCAATTTGGAAAGAACGAGGACTTTTTAAATACCCAGGGAAGACAAATTAAACATGCAGCAGAAATTCTACTATTGTTAGAAGCTGTACCATTACCCAATGAAGTAGCTATCTTACATTGTAAAGGACATCAAAGAGGTAACTCTGATCAAGAGACTGGAAATAATTTGGCTGATTGTGAGGCTAAATGGGTAGCAGAAACAGAAAGAGTTGAGGTGATGTCCTTAATTCCTGACAGTAAACTGGTAATTGAGCAAAATAAACCTAGGTACTCTAAAGAAGATATGAAACTAATTGAAGACTTGGAAGGACAGGAAAATGAAAAGGGTTGGATAAAAATACCTGATGGGCAAGTAGTGGTCTCCTATAATCAATTATGGAAGCTGATACAAGAAGAACAAGAAGGGGGGGAGTGAGTGAAAAGCTGTCTGGCTGGGTTTAAACCACGACAATAACAAAACTCATTGGGGAACTAATGCCTTGTCTAAACTTTTAAGCAAACAGATCATAGGGAGAAATTTATATACCATAGTGCAATTAGTGACAAAACAATGTCAACTATGTCTGAAAAATAACCCTAAGACTGAAAACAGGAATCAGGCAGGAACAATTGAAAAAGGGAATTATCCGGGACAACAGCAGCAAATAGATTTTTCTGAATTATCTAGAAAAGGAGGTTATCGATATTTGTTGGTATCATGGTTTAAACCCAGCCAGACAGCTTGTTCACTCACTCCCCCCCTCTTCTTGCCCTCCCCCTACTCCCGGAGGGACAGAGAGGAGAATAAAAAAGAATGCAACTCCCATGGGTTAAGATAAGAACTGTTTAGTAACTAAGGTATAACAGAAACCACTACTGCTATCACCAATAATAGTAATGATAAAGGAAATAACAAGGGAAAAGAATACAACACCTTATTACCAGCTGACAAATAACTCACCCCCCCAGGCCAACCAAGCACTGACCGATACCTCCTCCAACCGTGCAGTCTCCTAGCCCTTCCAGGTCACTCTCTGTTACATCCTGAGCATGATGTGCTGTGGTATGGAATACCTCTCTGGTCCGTTTGGGTCAGGTGTCCTGTCTCTGCTTCCTCACGGCTTCCCCTCCTCCCTGGCAGAGCATGAGGCTCACAAAGTCCCTGGCCAAACCAAAATATCAGTGTTATCAGCTCTGTTCCCAGGCCCAAAGTCAAAACACATCACTGCACCAGCTACCAAGAAGGAGAAAAATGACTGCTAGTGCTGAACCCAGGACAGTTGGTAATGATAGATACTTTTTCAGGGTGGCCAGAAGCACTTCCTTGTTGGACAAATAATGCAAAACAAATGATTAAGGTGCTATTAAGTGAAATAATACCTCATTTTGGGGTACCAGCACCTATCTCCTCTGACCACGGTATGCATTTCAGTGCAAAATTATTACAAGAAATCAGCAAGAAATTGGAAATAGATTGGCAATTCCGTGTTCCATATAGGCCTCAGGCCAGTGGGTAAGTGGAAAAAATGAATCACTTAATTAAACAACAGCTTGGGAAGATTTGTCAAGAGACTAAATTGTATTACCATTGGCCTTACTGAGAATCAGAACAAAACCTTGGTCAAAGGAGGGTATTAGCCCATTTGAGATTCTATATGGAAGGCCATATCAATCTCTATTTAAAGGAGAGAGCCTTCAAGAAGTACGAGAAGGATACCTTCAACAGTTCTTGGTAAACTTGGGAAAACAGTTAGAAGAAATAAATGGCACAGTGTTAAGGACCAGGGCCAGAGGTTTAGGTTATCCTATTCATCCTTTTAAGCCAGGAGATTGGGGTTTTATTAAAAATTTTGCAGGTGATCCTCTAGAAGAGAAGTGGAGTGGATCATACCAGGTATTACTGACTACCTTTACAGCAGTGAAGATAAAGGAGTAGCCTGCTTGGATGCATTACTCAAGGATCAAGAAGGTGCCAGAACCAGAAACATATCAGAACCGAGAAAAAGTATGGCACGTCGAGTCTTCAGGACCCACACACATGAGACTACATTGATCATAATTTGGACTTGTATAATAATAGGTGTAGAAGCATGGAATCAAAACCTATATCTGAGATTGATAAAAAACATTACTAATGTTTTAAACAAGAGTGATTGTTGGATCTCGACTCAGCTACCTAAATCAGGAGGGAGACTGGGTATTCCTTTAATTGGCCTCCCTACCCCCTTTAAGACAAATTGGGATAGATTATGGAGAGATCCTGTTTATACCGACAAGGGACAAATTTACAGGTTTTAAGGGTACAAGCCTCAAATATGTTAGAAGTTAAATGTGTAACCACTAACAAAAGTCTTAAAGCAACATGTTAGTAGGAAATTACCCATATTGCAGCTGGTCAATGCGACTTCACCTTCGAAAACCCTTAACTGGTTATTGGAATGTTCCTAAAGGGAAAGGGTGGTATTGGTTATGTGGAGAAAAATGCCTATAAGGCTTTGTCTCCTAACTGGAAAGGGCCATGCACACTAGGAGTAGCGGTTCCAAATGTTACAGTAATTGACATTCATCCCTCCGGAACCTGGGTTCAGAGTTTTATTAAAAGAATCAAACGAGGATATAATCCCATAGCAGAATGAAAAACTGCTTTCCATAGCTTTGTTAGATGCCTTATTCAATCTCTATGTGTTAGTGAATTAGAAAAAGCAATTGTAAATATCTCAGCTGCAATTGAGGAAATGGGAAATCAAACTGCTGATGTTATTCTAGCATTACAAGACATAAACAGCCTGTCTAAAGTAGTGCTCCAAAATATAATGGCATTAGATACACTGTTAGCATCCCAAGTAGGAGTTTGTTCTGTAACCAATGATAGCTTTACCAAGTCTTGGGAAACAGGAGAGGTGCCTGAGGACTGGAGGAAAGCAAATGTCACTCCTGTCTTCAAAAAGGGCAAGAAGGAGGACCCGGGTAACTATAGACCGGTTAGCCTCACCTCCGTTCCTCGGAAAGTGATGGAACACCTTGTCCTTGGTGCCATCTTAAGGCATATCAAGGATAAGAGGGTTATGAGGGGCAGTCAACATGGCTTCACCAAGGGGAAGTCGTGCTTGACCAATCTCGTAGCCTTTTATGAGGAAATAACACGGTGGATGGATGATGGTAGAGCGGTGGATGTGGTCCACCTTGACTTCAGCAAAGCGTTTGACACGGTCTCCCACAGCATCCTTGCGGCTAAATTGAGGAAGTGTGGTCTGGATGATCGGGTAGTGAGGTGGACTGTGAACTGGCTGAAGGAGAGAAGCCAGAGAGTTGTAGTCTATGGGGCGGAGTCTAGCTGGAGTCCTGTATCTAGTGGAGTGCCTCAAGGGTCGGTACTGGGACCAGTATTATTTAATATATTCATCAACGATTTAGATGAGGGAATTGAGTGTACTATCAGCAAGTTTGCTGATGACACTAAGCTGGGAGGAGTGGCCGACATGCCAGAAGGCTGTGCTGCCATCCAGAGAGACCTGGACAGGCTGGAGAGTTGGGCGGGGAATAACTTGATGAAATATAACAAGGGAAAGTGTAGAGTCCTGCATCTGGGCAGGAACAACCCCAGGTTCCAGTATAGGCTGGGGAACGACCTGTTAGAGAGCAGTGTAGGGGAGAGGGACCTGGGGGTCCTGGTGGACGACAGGGTGACCATGAGCCGACACTGTGCCCTTGTGGCCAAGAAGGCCAATGGCATCCTGGGTTGTATTAGAAGGGGGGTGGTTAGTAGGTGGAGAGAGGTCCTCCTTCCCCTCTACTCTGCCCTGGTGAGACCTCATCTGGAATATTGTGTCCAGTTCTGGGCCCCTCAGTTTAAAAAGGACAGGGACCTGCTGGAGAGAGTCCAGCGCAGGGCAACTAAGATGATTAAGGGAGTGGAGCATCTCCCTTATGAGGAAAGACTGAGGGAGCTGGGTCTCTATAGTTTGGAGAAGAGGAGATTGAGGGGTGACCTTATTAGTGTATATAAATATATAAAGGGGGAGTGTCACGAGGATGGAGCCAGGCTCTTCTCAGTGGCAAACAATGAAAGGACAAGGGGTAATGGGTACAAATTGGAGCACAAGAGGTTCCACTTAAACCTGAGAAGAAACTTCTTCTCAGTGAGGGTGACGGAACACTGGAACAGGCTGCCCAGGGAGGTTGTGGAATCTCCTTCTTTGGAGACATTCAAAACCCGCCTGGACACGTTCCTGTGTAACCTTATCTAGGTGTTCCTGCTCCGGCAGGGGGATTGGACTAGATGATCTTTTGAGGTCCCTTCCAATCTCTAACATACTATGATACTGTGATACTGTGATAGCTGTTGTTCCTATACAGATCAAAGCGGAAGAATTACTACTGATCTAAAGAAAGTGTGGAAACAAGCTAAAATATTTCACAAGGTGGCGCAGGACAACACCTCACGGGAATTTGAAGAAATTTGGGAAAAATTAACATCATGGGTACCCAATCTCTCCTGGTTGAGACAGTTGGTTTTTACTGTATTTGTAATAATAGGAATGGTTGTAATTACATGCATAACAGTCTAATGCTCCTTTTGGTGTTTCAAACAAACCATGATGAACTATGACGAATGGAAGAAAAACAAAATTTAGCATCAAATAGAAACAGGGAAATACTTCAGGAAACTAACTAAAAATGAAATAACTCAGTTGCAAAAGAATTTGCAATAGCACAAGAAAAGGGGGGATTGAAGAGTGGGGTTGATTGATGAATAGGGTGGATTGAAGAATTGGGTTGATTGAAGAATAGGATGGTAAATAAGTAACCTCAAGAACCTTGGGCTTTGTTAGCAACTGTAGAGAAAACGAAAATTACTAAGATAAGCTCTGGCAGAACCACCTGGTGGTTACTGATATGACAATAATCCTAAAACAAAGTGATGAAGAAATGGGGGTCCGAAAGCCCACTACCACATTTTTGTATGCATACAGGAGACATTGTCTAAGAAGTATGATGCAATGTATGTGATCTAATGAATATGTATGTTTAAGGACAATATAATCACATCCTGGTTGATGCCTGGGAGAGACACGCTTGGAGGAGCTATCCCCCGTGTCTCCCAGCACCACAATAAAGAATACCTGCTTGTCAACTTAAAACTTTGTTGGTAAGTTCATGGAGTTTCTCTGAATCAGGTCAAAATTAGGTAACATTAAGAGCAAAAGATAGAAATAGCTGAATTCATGCTACAGAAGAAGAAAAAACCGAAAAACTACTGTCACTTTTTGACACAGATATAAAGACACAACCAAGGTATGAAAGTGCTATAAACTCAACACTAGCATTATCCAGGCTCAGCCACAAAAAGGGAAGTAAGCCCAGTTGCAGAATGCCAGTTTCAAAGATCTTTACATCTGTTACCTTTTGAGCACATTCATTATTGAGGAGAAACAAAATTCTTTCTTCTTTCCTTGTTGCAGCTATGTTTGCAAAACTGCAATCCAATTTGGATTGTAACAAGCAGTAACAAAATTAAGTAGTTTAGTTTCCATTTAACTATGGTCTGTGTGGAGTCAGCAAGTGTTACTTAGATGGATTTGTGTTTTAGATACATACGGATTTTTACTTTCTTATTAAATACACAAACTAAATTTTTTGATATATGAGTGAAGTCTCCAAGGCATTTAGGTTTTACAAGAGGCAAAACCAATACTGGACAGAGACACATAAATAAACAAATAAACCCTTCAAGTAATTTTAATAAAAGAAGAAAGTAACTTACATTGTAGTTCTGCTATATCTGTTAAAGCTGCAGCTGAAATGAATGTACTTTGAGGCCTACAATTATATTAGCTAGTGGCATGGCTAAAGTTTTTACAACAAAACCTTAGCTTGACCACTTTGAGATCAGTTGTGTTCAATAAATACATAGCTCCTTTAAGCAAAATGATATTGATATTTTAATAGCAATGTACTATTGATCAATAAAGGAGGGAATAGGGATAATCTCTTCAACCATCACTTTCTGAGAAGTCACAAGCAATCGACTTTATCTATCCATCAGGCCAGCAGTCAACCCACTGCTCACGGAGCTGAGTAGTTACATAGTGTGGACACAAGCAATTCACCAGCAACCTGGATTATATAAGTTAACAACAGCATGAACAACATGGATTTAGAAGCCAGTTCATGCAAAACTGTTTTAACTTTATTGAGTTCTCTAATTGCAGATTTAGCCATTTATGATGAAAACCAGTTCTGACAGTAAAAAAAAACCCCAAACAATCCACTAAAAGAGCCCTTACTGTCTGTATAGGATAGCATATTGCTATACAGGTAAAATATTGGTTATTTTTCCCTCTAGCTCTTGTAGCATTCCTTGCTTCTGCATATACCATAAGCAGACATAAAAATTTTAGGCACATATATATGTCTTTATATATTGAAATATTTAGTTTCATTACCTATCAGTTTTCAACAGATGCTTAAAAAAATGTTCTCAGGTAAGTATTTGACTGCCAAAGAATAAACCCCTTTGGGTTTATTCAGTTTGTATAGAAACTCCCATTACCATTAAGGGAGCAAACCACAAGACACATAATTGTACTTTTTCTACTACTCACAAGCATATTATGATAGCCTTACAAACTGTTTATTGGAAAAGTGCAATTAAGAAGATCTGTAAAAGCTTTAAAGCAGCTTCATGAAATGTTCCTGCAGGAAAATATGGCAGAGTCAACATCCTGTAGTCTCCCATATATATGTATTCCCCAATAACTCAGTCTTGTGAATTTCTGATTTAAGACAAAGCCCAGTTTGCCACATAGGTATTACCACAGAAATACTGAGACTATTCTCTTGCTTGAAATAATTTTTCATTGGCTCTAGCTCTGCAAAGTAGCTCAGTTTATTAAAAATCTGGTGTCCTTGCTATTCATCTCACTCTGCTCTATACCAGCTAGTCTGTGACACTGTCACCATCCTGCTCCAGAGATGGCAGCGGACATTTTCCACTGCTCCTGG